ATATATATATATACATGTGGTTGAAGTAGTACCGTATATTTATACCTTGTCTCGTCTTGTATAATTAAGCTGCCCAAGAACAGAGTTATCGGAAGTCTTTCTGCAGTCAATGTGGGTCGAGAAATTTCTTCCAATTTATTTTTTAGTATTGTGTACAACAATATTCATGAAAACTGTTTTATTATTCATATTTTGTCTGTTCCTTGACACATAATTCATCATTCTGTTCAATAGTACTCTGAAATTCAGCTTCTTCTACTCGCCGCACTGCCGCCTTGAACTCAACGACGCAGATTTGTACAGGCGGCTCCCCAGCAAGAAGTAAATGCTTTTGAGAGAAAAAAGAAGTCCACATCTTAATTTAACAGTCTAGCTAAGAAGATCATGGCAGTTGCTTGTGCTCTAATCTACAACCGCTCTGCAGGAGGCAGCAGCAGGGTTTGTTGCAACACGCTAGAGGTCACCTCCTCTCAATACCAGTCTCAGGCCATTGTACCTTCGTGCCTGGGGTATTCAAAGGATGGAAAGGAGATTATTAACACTTTTTTAAAAACTTCCATCTCAAGTGTTCACTCTGCTGCACCTCATGACGGTCCTAGGTATGCATATCCACGCACAACTCCCCCGCACAGATTAACACTGCAGGTATACGCTACCCCATTCATCGGCCGTCAGCAACCAGCCCGCACTCCACCAGAAATTCAAAACACAGTTTCAGGCGGATCGGGCTCCAGATCCTGTCTCAATTGCCAAACCACAAAACCCGAAACCGTAAACCATGGTTTACGGTTTCGGGTTTCATGAAGCGTAGAACCTCGAACTTCTGTTCAACATTTTTTCGAGACTAGCTGGGGTATATCCTCTTTGTTTATTTGCATTTAAACAACTTAATAAATTAATTAATTATTACTTGGGTTTAGGGGGGAGAAATGATGTTTCATCGCCCGTGCAAACACCAGCATCGACCCTTCGCTCAGACCGCCACCACAACCAAGCCACTGGCTCTGGAGACGTTTGCAAACACCAAGGAAGCTGCCATACACCATTGCCGCTGCTTGCGCTGTCTGCATCTGGCACTAAGCCATAACACTATCCATGGATAAAGGGCACATGAAGGCTGTCACAGCGCAAAAAAGCCCAGTCGTAGAGCACCGGAAGGGGGCCACAGCTGCCCCCCCATGAGCAGGC